TTTCTTTACACTCTATATATCTATGTCGTTGGGTTTAAAATTGGCATATATATTTATCTTCAACTTATCTATCTTTGTTAATTAGAAGTATCAATGGTTCTAAAAGTCGGTCTTTGGAATCCATTGAGTTAGGCTTTGTGGCGATCTTTTTTAGTTCATAATAAAACTTTCATCCGTTTCGTCGTTAAATAAGTCAGCTATTATGTGCTTTCATATATATAATAAGCTTTACCGAGCAGCCTGTTATTAAAATATATCATATATGGAACGCCTGGACTGTCTTATGTGTAGAATGACTGATATACATGGTTAAATGTGATTCTGTTGAGCTCCGAGATACAATATGCTGGGTCAAAATCCCAATATACTGGGTGGAAATCCAAATGCGCTCAGTTTATTGAAGTGTAATGTTGTGCATGTGCTGACTGTATTTTATTCAGTCAAGTCATGTAATTGTCCGGATGCATAAGTCGTTATGTTCATTCTTAAAACAAACAGGCATGTGGCATAACACAATTATGTTGAGTTAAAAAGATATGTTGTAGGGTATGACAGTTGTTATGTTTCGTTGAAATAGCTCTTCTCATCATGTTCAACCATGAAAATAAACTGTTAAGTGGTACTATCATTTCGTTTGGCTGAGGCAGTGTATTATTGGGTGATCCTTTTATCATTTTCAGTTGAAATGACATGCTGTTGGGTGCTTTATTCAGACTGTTCAGTCGTGAATAGAACTGTTGAATAGTACTATCATTATGTTCAGTTCAGATGATGTGTACTGTTCGGTGCAGAGGTCATTCTGTTAAGTAGTGAACACAAAATGTTGTGTGATACCGTTATTATGTTCAGTTCAGATGATATACTGTTCGGTGCAGAAGTCATTATGTTCAGTTCAGATGATGTACTGTTCGGGTGCAGAGGTCATTATGTTCAGTTCAGATGATATACTGTTCGGTGCAGAAGTCATTATGTTCAGTTCAGATAATATACTGTTCGGTGCAGAAGTCATTATGTTCAGTAGTGAACACAAAATGTTGTGTGATACCGTTATTATGTTCAGTTCAGATGATATACTGTTCGGTGCAGAAGTCATTATGTTCAGTTCAGATAATATACTGTTCGGTGCAGAAGTCATTATGTTCAGTAGTGAACACAAACTGTTGTGTGATACCGTCATTATGTTCAGTTCAGATGATATCCTGTTTGGTGCAGAGGTCATTATGTTCAGTAGTGAAACACAAACTGTGGTGTGATACCGTCATTATGTTCAGTTTCAGATGATATTTCTGTTCGGTGCAGAAGTCATTATGGTCAGTAGTGAACACAAACTGTGGTGTGATACCGTCATTATGTTCAGTTCAGATGATATTCTGTTCGGTGCAGAAGTCATTATGGTCAGTAGTGAACACAAACTGTGGTGTGATACCGTCATTATGTTCTGTTCAGATGATATCCTGTTCGGTGCTGAAGTCATTATGGTCAGTAGTGAACACAAACTGTGGTGTGATACCGTCATTATGTTCTGTTCAGATGATATTCTGTTCGGTGCAGAAGTCATTATGGTCAGTAGTGAACACAAACTGTGGTGTGATACCGTCATTATGTTCTGTTCAGATAATATACTGTTCGGTGCAGAAGTCATTATGTTCAGTAGTGAACACAAACTGTTGTGTGATACCGTCATTATGTTCAGTTCAGATGATATCCTGTTTTGGTGCAGAGGTCATTATGGTCAGTAGTGAACACAAACTGTGGTGTGATACCGTCATTATGTTCAGTTCAGATGATATTCTGTCCGGTGCAGAAGTCATTATGGTCAGTAGTGAACACAAACTGTGGTGTGATACCGTCATTATGTTCTGTTCAGATGATATCCTGTTTGGTGCAGAGGTCATTGTGTTCAGTAGTGAACACAAACTGTGGTGTGATACCGTCATTATGTTCAGTTCAGATGATATTCTGTTCGGTACTGAAGTCATTATGTTCAGTAGTGAACACAAACTGTGGTGTGATACCGTCATTATGTTCAGTTCAGATGATATACTGTTCGGTGCACAAGTCATTTGACAATGCGCTGAGTGGTCATACAATTATGTTGGGTTCATTCGGATTTCTTCGCGTCAAACAAGATGGCGGGCGGGAGCAACTAATTTCCATAGGTCACGTCGAGGCTAATGACCACTAAATTGCCAAAACAATTACCTATTTGAGTCACACATGGCCACAGTATAAAGAACGTTAAATATAAGTATGGAACCCCCATTTGAGACACACATGACCACAGTAAATGGAACATTATATATAAGTAAGTGTGGCCTAATAAAGTCAAACATGCCCAAAGTATAAAGAAAATTCTTTATAAGTAAGTGAAACCTAATTGAGTCACATATGGCCACAATATATTAGACATAATGTTTAAGTCAGGGAAATGTATTTGAGTCTAATTTTATTAGGCTACCCTTACTTATATATAATGTTCCATATACTTTAGTTATGCGTGACTCAAAAAGGTTTCCCTTACTTAAACATAATGTTCCATATATTTTGGCCTAGTGTGACTCAATTAGGTTTCCCTTACTTATATAGAATGTTCTTCATAATGTGGGTATGTGTGACTTTATTGCGCTACTTTACTTATATCTAATGTTCCATATACTGTGGCCATGTGTGACTCAAATAGATTTCCCTTACTTAAATATTATGTTCCATTTATTGTGGTTATGTGTGACTCAAATGGGTTACCAACAAATACATTTTAAGTCGTATATGCTGTGGCCATATGTGACTTTAATAGGCTACCCTTACTTATATGCTCCATATACTGTGGCCATGTGTGACTCAAATAGGGTTCCCTTACTTGAATATGATGTTTTATATTTTAAATTTCGTTTGCTGTGTCCATTTGTGACTCTTATAGGTTACCAAACAGATAAATTTTAAGTTTTATTTACGGTGGTCACGTGTGACTTTAACAGGCTACCCTTACCCATATTTTAAGTTTTATATATACTGTACCCATTATGACTGTAACAGTATAGTATAGTCATGAATTAACTAATAAATACCCATAGGGTATTTAAAAGTCCAATTTATGAAAATAACGTTCTTAAGCCCCCCGATAATATTTATAGGGAAGAAAATTGTTTTGGCAATTTAGTGGTCATTAGCCTCGACGTGACCTCTCCCATCTTGTTGCACGAAAATATCCGAATAAACCCAACATAATGGTTGTATCACACAACAGTTTGTGTTCACTATTGAACATAATGACCTCTGCACCGAACAGTATATCATCTGAACTGAACATAATGATAGTACCAAAAAACCACTGAACATAACGACCTTTGCACCGAAACAACACATTGACTTGACTGAAGAAGATATAATCAGCACACAAGATAATGATAGTACCATTTAAGATAATGATTGTACCATTTAACAGTTCTATTTCACGACTGAACAGAAGGAATAAAGCACCCAACAGCATGTCATTGCAACTGAAAATAATAAAAGTATCACCCAATAATACACTGCCTCAACCAAACAAAAATGATAGTACCACTCAACTGTTTATTTTCATGGTTGAACATGATGAGAAGAGCACCAAAAGCATATTATTATAACCGAACATAATAACTGTAACACCCTACAACATATCTTTTTAACTCAACATAATTGTGTTTCCACATGCCTGTTTGTTTTAAGAACTGAACATAACGACTTATGCACCCGACAATACATTGACTTGACTGAATAAAATACAGTCAGCACACAACATAGCACTTCAATAACTGAGCACATTAGGATTTCCACCCAGCATTTTGTATCTCGGACTCAACAGAAAGACATTTAACCAGGTATATCATTCAATCTTAACATAAGACAGTCCAGGCGTTCCATAATCATATATTAATATAATGCTATCAAATTACTGAACAAATATTGTTTCACAAATTTGACATATATTTACTTACGTTGTTCAATCATTTTGGACAGGTATCCCAGTTTTTCTTTCTTGCATTTATAAACAAGGCATGAATTCTTCTGTTTTTCTGTCCATGTTTTTCCAACATCATAACATGTGCCATCATCTGATCGGCATGCTGTAATAACAGAATGTATTCTAAGAAGTCACACAGAGGACCTTACATGACTTGTTATTTCCTACAGGCGTAGGTCAAAGGGCCTAAACAATTGATATATACCAAGCAGAGGGGAGATTATTTACAGTTCCTGAACGCGTTTATGTAAAATGACAACATATTGTTCTGTACATATAATTCCTTTTCTCACAATAAAACATAAATAATGAAGCCTTTGTCACCAGTACTGAGCCTGATCTGCTTGTACATCCTTGCAGACTGACACGTTTCTTTACTGTTGGTTTAAAAATCCATCTTGATACCCCAAAAACTGATAATGTACAGTTTCAAAAGTGGCGGTTTAACGAGACCATCTTAAAATTCAGCAGGTAAATTCGCTGAAACCGGCGAACGAACCGTTTGAAAGACCAGTTATAAATACATGTACATCATACGTGTGCATTATGACATGAAATATGTAAAGATAATATTACATTGAAAACATATGACTTATCAATCAATGCCGTTTAAAGTCAGTGTCGAAAAGCAATATTGATGGTTTGCCATGCATACTGGATTGATACATGATACTTTACGGATGAAGGGTATTGCAGTAATATGAAGTGACAAGGGTTTTTGAACAAGTAAACTGGAAATAACAGACTCAACTTTTACTGAATGTGCAAGATTGTTTTGCCAGTATACCTGTTCGCTATATGGACAACACCATGATTGTCTCTAAATCGTGAAAATTACAAACACACTATTGGTTTTAAGCGGTATAAATTAAAAAAAAAACAGCATCGCTTTCAAAATTGTGGAAGCTCGCCGATGATTGGCTGTTTGAAAAATTAAGAGAAGTTGACGACCTTTTGATGATTGTAATATCGTAATGCGTAGTGTTATTTAGGAGCTGATTTTAATCAGATTGTACACGACACAGTACCTTGTTTTACTGTTTTTATGATTTGATTTATCTGCAATACACGTGTCGTTCACTAACTGATTATTATATAATAAACCTGCATGAAATACATGTATATACTTACATCCTTTGATGAGAGAGAAGAACGAGTCCTTATATGTGTCGTTGAAAATACATTCGTAAAACATGCACGAGGGTGTGACCTTCTGATATCCTACATTTCTACATATACCTTCATCATCACAACCTAAAGAAAACATCAGAATTAGTGAATGAAATATGTACAACAACACAACAACTACAGGCAATTATTTCCATTATTATACTCTTAAGTTGTTTTTTCACGCGCCAATACAATTGTCTGTTTACACTCACTAAACATGAAATAATTGAGCAAGCCTTCTTTGTATCTTTCCATACCCGTACTTTACTACGGAAAAGAACACATAATGACAAAAATAATTTAGAAAAGCAACAACACCCCGATCATTAAAATGAAAAACAACTAAAATAAAGATAAAAACAACCAAAAATCAGTGACCGTAGAGAAATTAGTGGTAAAGGTGTCTGTCTCTCAATTTATTAAATGTACCAGCCCTACTCATATCTCAATACTTAGGAACAAAATACCTCCCCATGTACCAGTTCTTGAAAATGATCAGATATAGGCGCATAAATTTCAAATATTTTCTTCAAGTGTGAATGCCCAATGACAAATATTTTGCATACGGATGAAGACAAAAACTATAGAATATAAAATTAAGATCAACGGTCATTAAACTAAGGCCAAATTACCTGCCGCTACCGGAGCTATACTTCTATGAATCATTTTATTTCTTTTATATACCACACATTTCCTAGTTCTACATCCGTCTGACCACGTGCTATTTACCGCCATACAAGTCTGATTAAATATACAACCTGGGGTTGAGGTTGAGAAAAATAAATAGTGAGTTATTGTACAACAGTCAAGATTATAATAAAAAGGTATTATTATACTATTACTTATATTTGATATTGCTTACAATAGAATACAAATCACTTTATTTTTCAATTGTCCCAGATTACATAATACACATTCAACATGTATCAAGCAATAACATGTGAACAATAAGTAGCATAAATATTTAGTATACAACATTATCAAAGATATTCAAATTAATTTTGTTTTGAAGTTTTTTGTTTAAATCTTAAATGGGCTTAACCGAGGTTTTTGACCATGGTAGGCAAGGACATATTTTTATCTATTTCATTTGATGTAGGTATATACCACTAAATGTGTTCAAATTTTCAGATCATTTGCTGGCATGGCTTTATGAATAATATTTTGATAATAATGTAAAATAAATTAACGTTTTTCACTCAAATTGGCTTAAAAGCGAACTTAATAACAATTTTCAAATAAATTCTTAGTAATTTTTTTATTACCTTTTTCATGTTTTCGTTTTTCATTTCAAGTGCCCCAGTTGGTTTTTATGTTTTTAAGCGTTTAACCTCAGTATAGCCCCAACATATAAAATGTGTGTCAGTTTTATTCATATTTGAAAGTCATTATCTAATTCATATAGATACATCAAATATAATTTTTATTCGACACACCAATGTTATCCTTTCTTTCCATAAATACATATAGGAGGTTTAGGATATTCAAGTAACTGTTCAAGTTTTAAACAGTAGTATGTATATAATGGCAACTTTTACCTAATAAATATAACTCGCAACATGACCGTGACAAAATTGTACCTTAATTAAGTTACGATTTACCAGTTGAGTTTAAAACTTTAAATTACATAATGCTTTCCGGTAATGATTCTATAAGTATTATTTAAGTAATTAAGTTACTATGATATAATAAAAATATTTAGCTTCTGACCTTGGCCTTAAAACATTTTGTAGCTCTTTTGATCTATGAAATTTGAATAATTAAAGATCGATATACATTACACTAAATATTGGAAATTGGACGAAAATCATACCGTATCCAATAGTCAACACCTGCATGGCCGCTGCACTTTGTCCACCTTTGCTGTTACTCCCTACCTCCTTCCGACACTGGTATTCTATACATCTTGCTGTATCATTCCAGGTTTCATTTTCATTGTAACATGTATCATTCCAATAACATCCTGAAAAGGGCAAAAAATATACGAACGTTGGACTGTCCACGCAATGACATAGCTCGAATTTAGAAAAAAGGAGGAGTCATGTTACTTTAATGGTCGAAAGCAACGGTAACTTTTGTTGTGACACAAGACAAGATCCCGCCCGAGAATGGCACATTTTCCCAACGCATAATAGTACGTAAAAAGGAATACAGATGTTTTGGATATACTATTATATATTGTCTTTAAATCTTCCACAATCAGCAGCATAGCCGTCGGGTTAGCTGGATAGGTAGAGCGTTAGACTTTGAATCGGGTGACCCGGGTTCGATTTTCGGACCGTGCAGGTCACTCTCGTTGTGATTGATCTTGAAATCCTTTCAAAGGTCATTCGTACTGTACCTCTGCTCTGGCATGTACAGTAGTTATCAGTCCCTTGCGGAAGTGAATGCAGCTGGAATAGTAAACTGCAACTAGTACTGGTAAATTACTTGACAGTCTGCCCATGAACAGTGCGGTGGCTGAATCGTGCTCTGGTATATTCAATGTGGCTTACTACCATGATCCTTGAAAACTATCAACACCATCACCACAATCAGTTGTAATGATAAAACTTTGGATAAGACCAGTCTAGCATGCATTTCTGTAATATCTGACAAAATGTTCTTTACCGATGACAATAAGTTTATATAGATCTACTTGGATATTTAGATCTTGACCTAACAATATAGAAAATTGCAAATTCAAGGTAAAACAAGTCCTCTACACAACACACAGTTTGATTAAGTTTAACCAGCTCTCATTTACATTATAGTCACTTGACATACCTACTGTTACCGGATCCAAACCTATTTCGTCACCTTTGACGTTGCATTTATATGTGACGCAATTCTCTGTGATTTCCTTTCCAACTTCTATACAGCTGTTACCTCTAATACTACTGCAACCTTGAAACAATAAAAACAATTATGATCATAACCTTCTTATCATATACACTAACACAGAAATCTGGATCAAGGAGTAACGTGGATAAACATAATATAAAGTATGATTTGGTGTAAGCTGACGAAAAAAAGTCAACCACAACTTCGTGAATGTTCGGCGAAAATCGTTACTTTTCTTGTCTGAACCATCAATGTGTTGAAAGATCAGTACAAAATCATACAATAATCAATATGTGACGGACGTAAATTGACGAAAACTGTCGATTTAATAAGAACTATTTATTTATAGAATACCGGAATCAAAAGTTGCTGAATGTACGCTCACAACTATACCCAATTGCCACAGATACGAAAAGTGTCGAATTGGACCGAAATTTTACGATCTACCTTAAGATGGAATACCGTAAAGAATACATACCGAGACGCACAGTTTGTACGCTCCAGTTTACTTTCTCAGCTTGCCTAGTCACTATACATTTGTAATCTATACATCCGTCTGACCAAACATCATCTTGTTTGTAACACGTGTTATTCCATTGACATGCTAAACTCAAAAAACAAGTCAATAAAGACAGGAAAGCTCAGTCTGTATATTTTTCATTAAACTGCACATATATTTTCAGTAGAGCAATGTGTTGACTTTTTTTATATGTTATATGACCTAGTGTGAACAGCTGTAAGCTTCGCCGCATCAAACAGTTTTTACATGGACATATAACCTTGTCAACAAATTTAGAACAAATTTTAAAAAATGCACTATTGTCCTCTTTGATTTAGATATTAAACAATTCCTTTTTTTCCATCGGCCTTTTATATTTTAAGTTATATAGATTATTTGACAGGTTATATGGTTCTCTATAAACGGTTGTTAGCACATATAACCAGAGCCGCTAGGTGAGGGTAACATTGCAAACAACCGTTGTATACGATCATGAAACATGCCAAGAAGCTTTACAAATAATTTGTAGTAGAAAACTTCCTTTAGTTGAGAAAAAGTGTAATTACTTTATAAATTGACAGCAGTCATGTATAAATCTAATATAAACGTAACAAGCAGCTGTTTATCAATTTCATATAAACGTAATGATTACCCAATGAAAAGCGCTGTTGCAAACGTATAGTATTATAACCATTAAATTAATGAACACAAATGTCATAATCATACAGTTTTAGTTAGACATGGGTATAAATCTGCAGTGTTTCAAACTGTTGAACGAATGTCATTTAAAAAAATTAAGATCATGTACATACATATATATAAGACATATGTATCTATAATATTTACTACGGCCGGTTCATTTTCCCCAATACAATACCACACTATGAAGGGGATATGTTGTTTAATTTATACAATGTTACATAATTACGTGTAATTTTTAGAATCTAGTATGTGTAGCGTAATTAAAAACATAGTTACAAAGCATAATCTGTTATATTTAAAGAAAGCAGCGGAGAACTTTATACTATAGATTTGTACTTTAAACTACAGCCCCACATTTCAGAGCCACATTGGTCCCAATTTGGATTAGAAACTGACAATTTCTGATAGAATATTACCGCATAATGACATTTCAGATTCAAATGCACAAAGCAAAAGCTCGTGGTTAATAACACTTAAACTGCTCTCTTTTGACCTTATACCGGGTCGCCATAGCACGTCTTTTATTAAGTCATTTGCCCTTATTAGGAAAAGAACTGTTTACACATTATGTGACTTGTTGACTGAATTTTCGAAAGAAGTGTATATCTAATAAAATAATCATAAGAATATGTAAAATAGAACAATTTCGTGCTAAGCATACGTTAAATGTCATTAATTAAGAAATAAAATACAGTTTTCTCTTGCTATCAAGGTTAAAGGAACTCCACTGAGGTTTATAAGCCTGAAAACATAACATTTTAATTTTTCAAATAGATAAACATGAGCACTTTAAACAGAAGTATATTATTAAATATAACTAAGAAATATACAAGAAATACATTGGAAATCGTATGATTGTGCTATACTTAGTCCGATTTGATTGAAAAGCATTTAAACGCTTTTCAATTTTGGTCATTTTTTACTATTATAATAATAATTCTGGAAAAAACGGAGCGAGCTAATGATCTGAAATTTTGCACATAAGTCATGAGTATAGATCTACATCAAATGGAGCAATAATCTCAAAAAAATATGTCCAATCCCGTCATGTCAAAAAACCTCAGTGGAGTCCCTTCAATTATTCTGAATCAGGTACCTTGGTTACAACGTTATACGATGTGTTATGACTACCCTGTATTTTGTTATCATCACTGTAAATAAATAACTCACAAACACTGGTTGCATTCACTATTGCAGTAAAACCGTTATCCGTATCAATCCATTCACATTTGAAAGAATGACATCCATCTTTCCAAGTAGCATTTACGGCCTTACAACCATCTTTCCATGTGCACCCTGGGTTAGTTGTATTGTTGCATTGGTTAGTTATTTTGCAATAAAGCGTGTGCAGAGAATAAACGATTATGGATCCTTATAAAAAACTAATTTGAACCGCCAAATCTGACTAAACTCAAACCAAAACTTATGTTTTAAAGTGAAGTGTTTCTGAAGATCTGATTGGAGCCACCATATCGGGAGTTTGTCAAATAATGACGTCACAAAGGAAAATTCCCTCTCATGTGACTAAAATATACACGAAAACTCAAATCAAAAGAATCAGTTTGAGTCAGGTTACTGTACATTTATGTTCTCGTTGACCGCCATACAGTGACCTACTTTTGGCTCAAAAAAATTTCGGATAACACTTCGGAAATTGCCTATATCTAAATTGTCACCACTTTGTGCTTTAAAATTAACTCTTTAAGGGCATGATTGTTGACATGTCAGTGGTCCGTAATCGACAACGAAAGTAACCGGTAGCCAGTCCATCACTAGGCACGGCTCTATATTATAAAATATGCATCTTAAAATTACATGACTTTTTCCGTTTTATATTGTAATAACTCATTATACAGCCGTTTCGAATTATTTTGATATGTATGTATGTAGTCTATGTTTAACGAGAATCCATCAACCCGGTATGGATTTATTCTCTTAATAAAAACACTACAAAGCTAAGACACTAAAGTTGTTTTACAACGCATGCTGTGATTAAAAATTTAAGCATATTTATGTTTAAAGCAAATACATGTATACATTCCAATGCAAAAGCAATATATGACATGCATATGTGTTTAACTTTATTTTATTAATTACAGTATTTATTTGTTCTTTGTTTTTTTAACAATATGGTACACACAGAGAGGATAATGTCATTCTAAAAATATTTCATCATTCTAAAATATAGTTTTTTTATATATTGTATATACAAAATTCTAGGACAGTATGGTTTACCTCCTTTTGTCACATCAAGAAAAACAACCGTCTTATTTTCGCTGAGCCGACACACCGCGTCGAAGCACCGCCCTGTGACATTCTCTCCGACACCGTAGCATTTTCCATTACCATCGTTGCATCCTAAAGCAAATAAAGTTCAAAGCAGATGCAAGTGTCAAGGTGTTCCCTCTTTCGTAAGCAAGTACAAATGCGGCATATTTTTACATTTGTATGTCAAATAAGCAGATAGAGCTATCGTTGCGCTAGCTACTGCCATGGATATGGGAACACTTAAAAAAGCATTTAAAAAGCAGCATTTAACTGTAAAGCTGTTTATTTACATTTCTTTAAAGCTTCAGGCCAAAAAAATGCAATGTAGTAAAACTATATTTTATAGGAACTTATCTGCAGGTATTGACGCTTCTGCCTACACAAGCAATCGCAATATTCGGCTTCATGAATGACTATGATAATCGGTAATAGAAAAAGTATTCCGAATTAGACACTTATGGACAGTGGAAATGGTCTCTGTTGACGGAAAGACAACAATGATCTGTAAAACATTAGTAAAGGCCGGCGATATTGATGATATGGGGCTGGGGGCATAAATCTAGGCATTTTTTCCGAATGGTGAATGAATACAAATTGTTGCAAACAATGAGATGAAGGGGCGATTTTTTTTTCAGACCGCCACACATCATATTATTACACCTAACCCCATCATTCCACATCTTACCATATTCAATCGGCTGAACATTCCACTGGTAATGGCCGCCTTCTACACTCATGTCACACCGGTAAGTTAAACAATTATGTTCCCATGTTGTGTTCGGCTTCTTGCATGAATCTAACCAAGGACAATCTATGTAAAGAATAAACTTTTAGTACCTTCTAAAATTTAATGTTGTCTAAAAAATCGATATTTAAACCAAAAAAAATGAAAATAAAATGACAAAACGGAATATCAGTTTTGTGTGGTTGTTGAATGTGTTTCAACGTTATATGTTCAATGCAATAACAAAGCACTAAATCTGAGCGTACAAGACAAGCCTGTCAATTTCAAGAAAGCAGGATGATCTGGTTTGAAAATCGGAGGCCATACAATGGACAGGTGATGTCGCGGTTAAAATAATTATACTAATATCAGTAAAGGTGCCATATCAGCATCATAAGTTTTCTTCGTTATTGATCGAATTATTATAGACTTATATAATTGTTATGCTAATCTTACAACCACCATACTATTTTTTTTAGTGCACAGAAAGCGTTAAAAATGATATTCATTTACAGTAACATAAAAATTACATGAATTACAATAATGATTTTCAATCATATTTTGCAAAACACATTTCTGAAATGATATGAGTTATTATGCAAAGTTGATATTTTTCACTACAAAATCTATTCGACTTTTCCATCATAATAAAGACAAGTACAATGTCTTATCTGTCTTATCAGATAAGTGAATCTCTATAAAATGTATTCAATATATATACTACAAACATTTTAATGTCTGAATTATCAATTTCGGAGATAGGTCATGGTTTTCAAAATAATGTTGAAACTGTTGTGCAGTTTAAACAACGATTATTTAAAACTGAAATGTTAACGCATTATTAACGTTAAGAAAAAGAATCTTTGATTAAGTGTTTTTAATGGTAAATTGTAATTTTCTTGATAAAGTTTATAAAAATGTAAAACAGAATATATGACCCGCGTCATGACAAAAACCACCATAATGGGTTTGCGACCAGCATGGATCCAGACCAGCCTGCGCTTCCGCGCAGTCTGATCAGGATCCATGCTGTTCGCTTACAAATCCTTTTACAAGTAGAGAAACTGATAGCGAACAGCATGGATCCTGATCAGACTGCGCGAATGCGCAGGCTGGTCTGGATCCACGCTGGTCGCAAACCCATTATGTTGGTTTTGTCGTGACGCGGCTCATAACATTGTGGAGTATACAAATAATTACATAAAATTCTTGTTGCAGTAAACAAAACAATAAACTGAATTATCCAATCAGTGATATAAAACGAAATAAACAAGGTATTTCTGGGTGTAATAGTGAAAATGATAGCAGAGATATTGCAGCATGTAGTATATTACATCGTTATTTAAGTTATATAACTAAAAAAACTTGATTTTTCAAGGTCTTGTATACAAATTCACTGTGTAAAACACAACTACTTCCGGTGATGTATAAACGTTCAATATTTCATACAGTAAGCTGCTTGTAATCACAATACCACATTTACATTTGATTGAACAGGTCCGCAGTAAATGATACAGTGATTACTTTTATACACTGTGACATTGGTTATTTGGAGTAAATAAAATGGTTAAATAATTTCTTTGTTATATTATAAAATGGTAAAGCAAATGGGTATTTCACCAAAAACAACTGGTTTGTGGGAATTAGTATACATAATTGAAACGGTGATTTTACGGGTTTTATAAATGGCACGGGGGGTTTCATATACAACATATATAAATATTATGTCCAGGATATATTTTATACAGTGGGGCATAACTGAAATTTCTACCTCCCCTGACGAGAACAAGTCCACACCTTGAAGGTTGACGGATACATTTAAATTGTATACAACCTTGTTTGAGCATCGCCCCTACCGGAATACAATTTCCGGCAAGGTTACTACATCCTGTCATCGGAGCATGGAATGAAATATTTCTAATTTATCAGCATATGTTACATGAAAAGTCAACTATAGAAAGACATCTAAACACAATACAATGTAAAAGTTTAGGTTACACAGGGATTTCCAGGCAACATATATACTGCAACAATTTATCTTTGATGTGAGTGGGATTATTACTGAATATGCATGTGAATTACAAAACCGCCAAGGGAGGCAAGTAGAGACAAATGATTCAATAAATCTTCTCAAAGTTATTTCCCCATGATAATTTTGTATACTTGAATAATATTGATTTTAGTGCAGTTTGTGATTTAATGCCAATTGAATTTCTACTTTTTGTTGCTATAACAAAATGATCAAAACGCAAATGATTAATATTATTATACCTGCTTTTATGACCTTGAATATAGTGGCATTTGACGCTGAGTCCATAGTACATCTACTTGTGTAGCAGCCCCTGTAAATCTCTTCGCCAACTTTCTTACACACATCCCCATCTCTACAACCTGTAATGAAAACAAAAACCTATGGAGCGCCATTCCTGACCTGTATACAGACGATGACATCGTTGGAGCGCCATTCCTATCATATATACAGACAATGATTGGCTAACATTTTAAAGAAATTCTTGACTTTAAATCACACGCCCTCTTCGTCGTAATAATCATCGACAACATCACCGTCGTCGTCGTCGTATTAATCATCATCATCATCATCATCATCATAATCATCAGCGGCGGCAGCAGCATCTTCAGCTGCTGCAACAGCAGTAACTTCACTAGCATTATTATTATTATCATCATCGTTACCAACGTCGTCGTCGTTCTTTATGTTCGTTTTTAAAATGAACAAAAGATTTTTTATCGTTCATTTTGATGATTTTGCTAAAGAAAAAATAATCTGTTTTGTTACACTTTCTGATGGTGAAGTACCTTGGCTTCCATCTTTAATTTCATAAGTTACATCTGTTCCTGTAACGACCTTCTCGCAGGTTTGACTTCTGCACGTTTCTCCGTGGTTAATAGTCCATTTTGATCCTTCAGCCTGACATTTTCCGTTCACGGGACATCCTAAAATAATTTTATATTATATTATTCAATAAATGTCTCGTAATGTTATTCATTTACTATGAGAGATTGTTTACGAAAGGCTATTTAAGATTCTGTTTGATAATATACTTCATTGCAACCATTCGAGCGTAAATACTGGAATATTGACTGAATAATACGAAATCAAATAACTATACACAAAAAATAGTGCTATTTTGTCCGTCTACAACAAGAAAAGCGACACCCGCCATCCACACACACAGAATTTAAGTTTTATATCATATTTATTCAGGTACTTTTCATGTATTTAATTACTATTATATAAGAAGTGTTAGAAATGGAAAGAGACAAAAATCTTTAGGATCTTTAGAAAGGAAATATTTGAGAGAAAGAGGAAGTAATAACTTCTTTTCTTTATTGCATCCATAAATAATCAAACAGTGAGAGCTATTTAAGAAGGCATTGTGTGTGACCAAGACCAAAATATCACCAGAGTTACGTGGTTTGCCAGAATAATTTAAAACATGCTTGTACCCTATCTACCATTTTAAATCAAATTTATATGCAAATTATCCGTTTTATATTTCAATAATTTGATGTAGCATTGGATACATTGTGCCATTGTGATTAAGCTATGTCGAATATATTTTTTCAGTTAGTTCAATCTCATTGTGTTCTCTTCATTCCTTTTACTCTCTTGTTAGACTATATGTACAAGTATCATACATACTTTGATGATAGCATTGTTTATAAAATGTCATTATGTTGACAATTTCATTGTATCATTGTACTTATATGTTAATGTAACAAAAAACATCATGTTTAACCTACCAAATAAAATATTTTGAAATTCTTCCGCAATATACGAATGGCATTTTCCTTTCTTAATGACTATTCAGAGACATAATTACAAGCAAACGACCCCTCGGAAAAAAGAGACTAAAATTCTTACCCCCAGAGACGATCTGCAGCACGTTCATGCCCATTTCCGAGACACATTTCTTTATGACACAATTAATTTCCTTCTCTGTATTCACTGCTATAAACTCCCCACTCGGATCTGAACATCCTGTCAAAATAAAGGTGGAATTACCAAAGCATTAGAGTAAGATTTAATACATAAATGTTTTTTTTTTTGTTTTTTTTTTTTTTTTTTTTTTTTTTTTTTAAGCTGCATTCCTCCAGATGGGCGAAAACATTTATAAAAAATCAAACTCGAGAAAAATGTACAAAGATTTTATGAAAATTAAAATATTCAAGATTCAAGTAATAATTTACATGTTATGTGCGATTAATTACTGATTTTTCAGTATTTATAACTATATTTCTACTGCGTAACTAACGCAGTAAGGGCTATTTTTGCATAGTTTGTCCTCTTTTTTGCAATTAACGTGAGCTGTTAGTGCCATTGATAATGTGTAAATTGCTTCCTTTTAGATATTTCACTGAATAATACTTTTAAACACATTTTCAAAATTTTCATGAAAATGAGCATGCTGCTTTATGGCGTCGTCGAAAGACAGATAACAAAGACATGAAAGAAGAAGAAGAACAAGAACAAGAAGAAGAACAAAAAAAAGTAAAGAAGAAGAACAAGAAGGAGAAGAAGAAGGAGAACAAGAAGAAGAACAAGAAGAACAAGAACAAGAAAAAGAACAAGAAGAAGCACAAGAACAATAACAAGAAGAACAAGAATAAGAACAAGAATAAGAAGAACAAGAAGAAGAAGAAGAAGAAGAACAAGAAGAACAAGAACAAGAACAAAAACAACAAGAAGAAAAAGAACAAGAAAAAGAAGAAGAACAAGAAGTAGAAGAAGAACAAGACGAAGAACAAAAACAAGAAGAAGAACAAGAACAAGAAGAAGAACGAGAACAAGAAGAAGAACGAGAACAAGAAGAAGAACACGAAGAAGAAGAAGAACAAGAACAAAAAGAAGAAGAAGAACAAGAAGAAGAACAAGAAGACGAACAAGAAGAATAACAAGAAAAAGAACAAGAAGAAGCACAAGAACAAGAACAATAACAAGAAGAACAAGAACAAGAAGAACAAGAACAAGAAGAAAAAGAACAAGAACAAGAAGAACAAGAACAAGAGGAAGAAAAAGAAGAAGAAGAAGAACAAGAACAAAAACAAGAAGAAGAAGAAGAAGAAGAACAAGAAGAAGCAGCAGAAGAACAAGAAGAAGAACAAAAAGAATAACAATGAACAAAATAAAACTACCATCTTGAAGACTTATTTATTAAGCACGTTTTGTGAAAGTTTGAGAATTTTGATCGGCATTTATACCAAAAGTCGGAACTGCCTGCATAACATGTAAATGATATCAGTTTACAAGACAATAAACTGTTTACCTGAGGATCAGACCATCTTTCTAAATAAGAATATTTGCATGAGTAAGACTCTTGCAAAATATCATTGGGATGTGAGAAAAGGAAAACACATTAAAATAGCAGTTATGTAATTTGGCTGTCTTCGACGCTAACTAGGCACAAAGGTCATGCGGCAAAATTACGAGTTGTGGAAAGGATCAAATAGTTCCCATTGTATTAACAGGTAAACTGCTAGTTATCTATGTAGTGAGAATGTATCTCAGGCCTTTGGATAATCAACCCTCTTGATGTCTGCTTATGTTTTAAAAAATCAAGAATAAATTTAAAACACACTTGATTTTCAACTTACCACATTCCATGGTCTTATAGTGACAGAAATTGAGTGTGATGTCACCATTGATAATTTTCACAGAAGGTGTCAGTCCCCTCATTTCATGTTTAGCGGATGGTAATCCATCAAAGGTTACGTATTCTACCGAATGTGTCATTCCTGAAATAAAATATTACAGAAGAAGCATTGAAGTGAATAAGTCCAACATAAAAGGTATGTAATACCATTAATGATTATGTTGATACTCAAAAGGTTATTTAAAATTGGATTATACAATACAGGGGTGTATCTTGACAAGTATACAGCTGGATAAACCATATTGGACGACCGTCATGCAAGCTGTGAACGAGTCCAGATATTTTCAGTATTGTATCGATTTAATGTTAAATTTGCTGTTTATTCTTTACTCTAATAATATCGAGAAAATGCAAAATGTGACCTTAAAAAATTATGGTTTGAGAGCCGAATTCGTTTTGTCAACACTCCTTTAGAATTAATTCCAAAACACGAACATTTGTCCTATCATTCACAGTCAACTGCCCAAGAGAGAATGATTATAATGGACGCTACAACGTCAAATAGGAAAGTATATTGGATGGCCACATGTCCGATTTAAAAGCAGCGATTGGCTGATGATAAAAAATGAAAAATGAATTTTTGCATTATATGTTCAAAATAAATCACATAAAACTGAAGCAACATTTTTTTGCAAGAATTATTTTATAAAAATATCCGAATGATACATTTTCTATTTGTATCAATGTTTGAACAACTAACGGTTGTCCATTGTATATCAATCATTTTTTATCCGTTTATCAAACAAATACTCTACATTTCCTTACTAATAATATCAAAAGAACTGCGTTTTATACCATTCGTAACCTTTTACCGAAGTACGATGAAAATGGCCAAAAACCTTCTTTACGCAGGCATGCAAATAGAGATTTCAACTTTATTATACCGGTAAAAAAACTGCAAGTAAGAATAACTTCTTTTTTCGCTCCTTAACAATTGATTTGCTACAAATCAGAGTTATTTTAGTACTTCATCCACAGTAAAAAAATCGTATTCGAGAATTTAAGTACTTTGAGAAGGATTCTCCGCGGTAATTCCGTTTTCAAACATGTTCAATAACTTCCACTTTGTAGGTTTCAAACGATTTGAGTGGTGATATTGGATATTTGCTTTCCTAAAATTATAATTAACACTGTTTAATAGACCTGTGTACGACAAATATATATTAATTGCGTTAGACTATCAGAATAACGGAAGTTCATCAAACCTCGAACCGTTTGGCATTCTGTTTCACCATTCTCCATAAATAACACGAAGTTCTCGTCCTTAGGTAGAATGATTTCTGTAAGCACACTTCCATCTTTACGGCAGCAGAAATATAAACCGGTCTTTGTTGTAAAGTCGCCGTCGGGGAGATCGCCTAAGCTAACTGATTTTGCTTTGCCCTGGTTGTCATCAAATGAAACATAACCGTCCGAGAAACCTTTGTAACAAGTAAAAATCAACATAATCAGTATAAATATAATTATCATTACATTATAATATCTTCATCATCATCATCATTATCGTCGATGTAGTCATCACCATCATCATAATCATCATCATCTCCATCATCATAATCATCATTGTCATAATTATCATAACCATCTTAACCATCATCTTCAACAACATCTTTATTATCATCATCATCGCCGTATTCATCATCATCATTATCAGCAACAACAATATTATCATATGCTTACAAATTTCAGTGTAATGTTTCAGTAAGAGATTTGTTTTACTCTAAACATTATCTAATAATCAAACAGTTAATTAAAAACAATGACACAATTAAAGAAATATTTGAACCAGTATGTTATATTCGCAAATTGATATAACATTAACACTGATGCAGAAATGTGCAAAACAAGATCATTTAATTGATAAATATAGAATCCATTGAATACAGTTACCAACGACACTGTTTCCAAATTTGTCAAGCACATATCATCAGAAATACAATTATTATATACAAGGTCAGTGATCAATGACTTTGAAAATTGTTTGGAATATCTACTCCACGCCATTGTCATACAAGACCGGAAACGTATTAAAACCGTACCTCTGGGACAAGTTCCATTTCTCCGGAAAATACAATAACTGCCAGGTTCCCAGTAGGTTTTGTATCTAGGTAAGATTTCATTATTGGTTACCATTCCATGGTTGCAGAAATCGTGTTGCATGAATTCTTCCGTGTAGTTTCCGGCCAATGAGAGAACTTTCGAGAACAAGTTTCGACCAGCGCCATAATGTTTCCTTGACCCCTCTGACCATACCGAGGGGACGTCACTAGGGCAACCGGTCTGAGGTTTGAGCACCGCATAACTTCCATCAGGCCATTGCATCGGTTCTTTAATAAATAATGTCCAGAATTAATATAATTAATATACAAACAATTTATATAGCTTTCACGACGTTTTTATGTCGCTCTTAAGCAAAGTTTTTTTTTTATTTTGTAAAATCTTAAGGGTTGAGTCTGCTTTAAAAATATTGAGATAACAAGATAGTATTGTTGTTCCTGAATTGCTGAACTGCAATTTTTAATCTAATTTAGCTTTTAATTAACACAAACTGTTTCTGAAGATTGCTGTTTCTGACTTGTAATGAGAAAAATAACTACACAAATGTACTTAATTGAATATGACTAGGAACAGCCTTGCGTTTCCTTATTGGATGAACGGGATTAACGCTATCCTGTTGTTTGCTGCTAACCAATGAAATCCATCCATGTTTTGCGATATACGTACCATTTGCTAAAGTTCGTGTTACAGCGCTTTGGTTTTCATTTGCACACATAAACACCGTGCAACCGTCATGCCAGTAGCTGTCTATCCTCTTACACGCTCCTTGCACGGCACATCCTGTACAGGGAAAAATAAAATTGTTATCTTTAACGATTACTTGCATAATAACACACTTGCTGTAATTCTGTGTTATGCCAATAATACATAATTATGAAATAGGTTTACAAGACATTTGTACCGTTAGGGAAAAAGCCACTGATCGCTGGTACTTAAAACCCGAATATGTTACATGTATTCTCTTTATTTTTCGGAGGCATTTTAGTTTGTCGTCTGCTATAATTTCAGAAGCAGTACTCATTGATCTATACCTGTTCGCACAGTTTTTATCTTCAGGCACTCGCCTTCTATCTGACATTCCATGACGTCACATCCGGATTCCCATCTCGCGCCAACCGTCAGACAACCGCCAGTTGGTAACGGACAGCCTTAAAAATAAATCTTATGCAGATTTAGTAGCTTTTGAAATACATGAACACATCAAACCCAATTAACTTTGTTCGCTCAGTGCATCATACACGAGACAAAATTGACGTATATATATTTATAAAACAGTATAACATAACAATTTATGTAGATAACAATCATTATATAATAACTTACTTAACACAGCCATACGACCAATTTAATTTTGTAAATACGTACTAATAAATTTTAACCAGCTTAGTGTTTTAAATTATTTTTATACTCAGTTTGCTTCATGCTATCTACACGAAATTCAAAGAAGTAATTATGACATTTTCCGAGGACAATATTCAAAAAAACTCGAGGTCTGTGTTTTTAGCGTATATATGACTCACAGTCCGATAAGTTTGCTGCTGGGAAAAAAATCTTTTCATTTTTTTGTGAAGAAAACCTACAACTATGTGTTCCATTTTGTGATAATTGTTTTCTGTGACAGTAACAATTTATTTTCTAATTTAGCCTCAGTTTTACTTTTATTTATTGTAATAAAATTAGAATCCGGAAAACTGAATAAATCGGGCGTTACAACAAGCATCATGTACACTTGCCTGGCAACATTAGACAATTAGTCAATGTGTAAGCATACCACACAACCGCGTACTTAATTAAATTGTTATTGCTGACGTCCTGTGACGTCAGGGATGGTTTCTTACTATTTAGATGCAGAAAAAAACATATAATCAGCCTCAAACTTGACGATAAATCCCCCAAGTATGTTCATAGTTCTTGCTCCCTGTTAGAAAACTGGTCAACATGTCTATAAGCAGGCCACTTTTGTAACAAATGACCAAAAATTCCATGCGTTTCATCAAAAATAAGCTTTATTACATAGAAATAATGTACGAATTTAAGAATTCGACATTCCACCTTGATTTAGACACACACCCTATACCGTTTTGCAATAGGCATACAAGGTAATTTGTTGCTTTTCCCAACGACTACACGTCCAACACAATTCCATTTCGTATAGATATTCTGTGAAAATGATTAACACCCTGATAAACACTTTTTAAGTGACCAAGCTGTGGTACATAATACAGAATCATACACCTTATGTTTCATTATTGCAACAACAAAGGCAATGTCGATTTGACATGGTGTACACAATATCATACTATCCTAGAAACGGCCTTTCAATGATTAGGCAATAAAGAATTGTTGTAGAATAATGCACGGTCGAGTTTAAATGAGTAGGAACATAATCACGAAAGCCGACAGGCCTTGGTGACTAATTACAAAACATTTGAACGATAAACTGTGTACTGTTATACAACTCGTATAATGTATCATTTTGAAAGATAATAATTATTGATAAAAATATGTTGATTTACATTGAACTTAGAAGTAATTGCTTTGGCGTTAATTAGTTAATTCAATAAGAGCTAACCCGTTACTGCCCTAGGGAACAATTATTCGGACGTCAGTGCTTTTTTTATGCTGTGCATATACATTTGTATTGTGTAATAATGCACTTGATTGTCTTTACTGTTTCATAGTTTTCTGTTATTATAATGTGTCGGCTTTACTGTTGTTATACATGGTTTTTAAAAGCAGAAGACGTATTAAATGGTCTTCGTTTGAAAAGAAAATGTATTTATCCCTTCACAATATACTGATGGCATTGATGTTTTTTCCGTTCTTAACAATATCGAACAATGTTTAAAAATTTTGGATACCACAGAATTCAAAATATTGTAAGAAATGCAACAATAAAAAACATGCTTAACTTTGTATGTGTAATCAATTTTCACAACACCCCTTAATTACAAGATATAAAAACTTACCAGCTTCCGTTAATTTGTAAAATGCTAGATCAGCATTCTCTGTACACGTGAATGTGTTGCACCCCTCGGACCACGTGCTATTAACCACGTGACATTGCTTCTTATACCAGCAGCCTATAATAAAAATAAAGTATGTAATGGCATGAATCCGCAACCTTTCATCAATATTTTTACAGACGGACAGTTGATAGTTGACATTCTAAAAACGCCTCCAAAAATGCAACGTGAGTGCCCCACACCCTCTTAGTTCAAGGATCATTAATACGAATTATATCTTTAAGTAATGGCGCATTCATTTTTTTTTTTATACGGACTACTATTTATATATTGAATGAACTATGTTCTTAAATAGAACATTCATCTTCATTCAAAGTCTCATTTACACGGTATCTCTAACCGAAACATCAACCCTTATTAAAAAATCATTTAAATGGACTTTATCTTTAACTAAAATACTCATCCGCATTTATAAACTTGATCTTGAACATAAATATCCATTCTAATTCAAAGCATCATTTACACGGACTTTATTTCTAACTAAAATACTCATCCACATTCAGGAACTTTATCTTTAACTTTAATATCCATTCTTATTAAAAGCATCGTGTATACGGTCTATTGTTGTAACTAAAAATTGTGACCAATAGACATATTTGTCCTTTTTTAAAAAAACGACAAAAAAGTGTGCGCGTTACCGAGGCAAGGATTGAACTGTTTATATGCAATAGAAAGAGCACCGAAACACGAGGCTATCTGATTTGTACGAGGGGGCGTAGCCCCCGAGTATAAATCAGATTGCCGAGTGTTTTGGTGTTCTTTCTCTTTTGTATCATAGTCAAACATGACAGCACGTTCCCTGTTGTCATAAAATGAAACCCTAGAAAAAATTAACCAATGAACGAGCATTTGAATATGATATTTCTGCCCCTTGCCCTTTCTCTGCCGTCACAATATGTAAACCCCAGCAAAAATGAACCAACCAACGGGCATTATCTGGAGTGCGGGTAACTGATACCCGCACTCCAGTTACCGCACTGTGCATGTATATGTATACGATTTAACTCTGACACTTTTTCAACAGAAAGGTCCCCAAACTATGATACAAGAAAACTGTAATAAACGTGGCTTCGATATGAATACAGCAAAACTAAACAGTCTTTTGGAATAGATATGTTCTAAAGTAAAAGTATTGTACGTGACCGATTTTGGTTATAATTTTTACATTTATTTACAAAAAATGTTATTTGAATGAAGTATCTAAATTATAACTTCTGCCTTAAATGCTGTAAGCGTCTTTCACCAAGTTGCTCTGTCATTAATTAAGAAAGTTTAAGCCCATTAATTACATTATGTAATTAGTATGCGCAGTGTTACGCGTAATTACTGTGTCATTTATGTTTTTACCATTATTTGAAGTTAAGTTCCGTAAACACATACATTAAATAAACCCACAAACCTAAATAAATATTCTCGTATATAATATAAACACGTTGAATTAAAGATAATTCAATTTGGTGAAATAACAATAATAATAATAATAATAATAATAATAATAATAATAATAATAATAATAATAATTATTATTATAATAATGATAATAATAATAATAATAATAATTATTATGATAATAATAATAATAAGAGTTACGTTTAAATGACGGTTTAGGAGTCTTTTTCATGCTTATCACTCGAAGAAAGTATAATAGCTGAATTTGAAACCCTTTGTTAAACGAAGCAAAATGTAAACAATGCATTATTTTGACCTCCATACACATTGGTTAATCATTTTTGCTGTGCTTATGGGCAAATTTAAAATAAACGGGGATCAGGTTATTTGCCAATAGATAACTTTGAGAAAAACAAAAGCTTTTGAAAAGTAAAAATTGCATTTTATTTAGAATTAATGGGTCATTTACAAAACAATAATTCGTTTAAACTGTTTCAAAATGTATTGAGGTGTTCTTTCATTAAACTGATAGAATAATGGAAGGAGAAAAATGTAGAAAAAATACAGCAGTCATTCTCTGAGAGACAAGTAGTTTTTGTGACATCTGATAGATTTGAGTATGTTTAAATGGTATATTGATGACATTTTACAATTGTTGTCGTCTATAAAGTGAGTACACCCGTTTGTTATTTTTAGTGTATATACATTTTACCAAAAACAGCGTAAAAGCGGTATCTTTATGCACCATTAATTTGTATGCCCGCCCCAAACTCCGGGAGATTGTTGGGCCCGCAAACCTGGGAAACGGGGCCGAATATAACATTCCGTCTGCCCACGCACCGACAAGTCATTGCGCTTCATTTCATTATTTCGCGAAAATATCGTGGGCTTGTACATTTTGGAGTGCAGATATTTTACGTTTTGACTGTCCTCACAGACCGGGACATTTATCCTTAGTTTAAGTCCTCGCTTTGCTGTTGTATGTTTGTGTAGATGTATGTCATCTGTCGATAAAATTAACTGTCGTATTATAAAAAAAAAACGCATTTTAACCAAACATATAAGGGTACATGTTAAATGTCAGTTTTAAATAGGATTTAGTATAAATGAGTTCACCTTTCTGCACGGCTTCGTAAAAGCCATTTTTGAAGCATTTGTAGATTGTGCACGGGTCCTCGGGCTTTGCCCATTGTTCCCCTTCACTGTAGTAAAGACCGTTCATCTGACATGTACATATTGGCTCACAATGCCCTGTAATTTACGAAACAATATATCAATACATCGAATTAACTCAAATTAATGAAAGATAACGGATATTTACCAGTTCAAAAGGCAATGACAGAATTAATATAGAAATAATTATATAATTATAAGATCATATAATTTCTTTAGTAAAATATAATCCGGCTAGATAGTTGTATATTTTCTTTTTAAATCATATCTCATATCATGTAACAAATTGTAAATTGTGTGTACGGCTATTTGTAGAAAATATAAGATAGATGAAATACGAATAAAATTATCAATTGATTGGTGGATTTGATGAATGAATGTTTGAATGAATGAATGAATGAATGAATGAATGAATGAATGAATGAATGAATGAATGAATGAATGAATGAGATATTTGATTAACCGTTTTTTTTATTTTTTTGAAATTTTGATTTATCACACGCTTGACTGGATTAAAATCAATACTTAAGCAAAATAGTAAATACTATTTTACGAGTGATATATTGATTTCAACAAAAATGGGCATATACGTGATATTATGTTACGAGGTGATATAATGTTACGGTGATCGTAAAGTGTAGTAAGTGAACGGGTATCATATTACATTCATTCAATACTTATTCTTTTTATCGCAATTATTTAAAAGCAGAAAAGTATCGTACGCTATTGTTTTAATTCAGCCGTTCCTAAATTACAATGTGAAATGATATATACATTTAACAAATTTTTTTTTTCAACAAAAAGCAAAATATAACATTGTCATTTTAATGTCAGGCCAGTCTTGTAAGGGGTCTATACCTTTAAAAAATGGCCCTTCCTCAGACTGGAACTAAACCTTTAACTTTTATTCCTAGTTTGACACGTAGGGAAACTGATGATATTGAGTGTGACACGTGTCGGTTAAAGGATGTTACTCAAGAGGCACGGACTTACTGCATTAATTGCAAGAAATATATGTGTTTTGACTGTAAACTAGATCATCAAAATGCTGACTCATCAAAAGCTCATATAATTGTGCAAGACAGTGATATGCCAAAGGAGAGACTCCCGAATGCAAAGGTTTCTGTGCAGTCATGCGACAAACACGTGTACAAGATGGTGGAATTCTACTGTCCCCATCACGTGACAGCTTTCTGTAATGAGTGTAAAGAAAGTAAACATTTTCGATGCCACGGTGTTAATGATATCAAAAGCTTAGCTAAAGGAATAAAAAGTGGCCGTGACCTACCCAGAACTATACAAGAGGTGAGAAAAATGGTTCTTCAGTTTGAAAAGTTAAAGACATACAAGGAAGCCCAAGATGATCGTATGGAAGAACAACTAGTTGCTTGTTTGAAAGATATACATGACCTTAGAGTTCAGGTTAATACTGCCTTTGATGCACTAGAAAGAAAGATTAGAGCAGACATTGAAACTAAAACAAAAAAGGTCGTAAATGAAATCCGAAATGTTCGCAATGAATGCACGAAAAGAATAGCTATTCTTCAAGAGGAGTCAACAGAACTTGAGGCTATTAAAGGCTCCGATGAAACTCAATGTTTTTTGTCGATGGTGCATGCGCAGAGTGTTAAGTCCGAATGTGACGATATTCTCAACAAGCTTATGAAAGAAAACAATGAAAGACATCTGGAATTCGAACCGAATCATAAACTAGTTCATTTCTTAAAGACGTTTGACAGTTTCGGGTCTATTAAAACTACACTAGCGAAACCTTCTAACGCCAGCAAAGTTTTTACCCCAACACCGTTACCATCAATGGACCTTCCGTCTAACATGCTGTCTACATTGAAAGGCGGAAAAGATCTCGTGCCATGCGGTGAGTTCAATATACATGCTCCGGAAGACACAAAAATATCTTGTTCAATCACAGGGGCAACGTTTCTAGCCGACGGAAAACTGCTACTGGTTGATAATAGAAATCATAACGTGAAACTGTTTGACCAAGCTATCCAACTTAAATCAAATGTAGCACTGTCAAGCCCGCCCTGTGATATTGCCGCTCTCAACAACAGGGAGGCCGTTGTATCACTTCCGGAAAAGAAACAGCTGGATTTCCTGATCATGGACCCGGATCTGCGTTTAACGCGTGCAGTGAAAACCGAGACAGCTTGTCACGGGATTTGCGTTCTAGAAAAAGGTTTGCTGGTCACGTGTTACAGTCACGGGGTGTATGGTCTAGTTCTTCTGCTTGACATCGAGGGAAGAGTGAAACAAAGATTTGATCGTGACGTAAATGGAGACGCTCTCTTTCAAGGGCCGTTCTTCATCGCTCCGAATCCAAAGCGGGATAGATTTTATGTGTCAGATAAGGCGGCTAATAAAGTGTTAGGAGTGACAACTGCTGGAAAAATATTATTTAGGTGAGTGAAGAATATATGTTTAAATCCCTTAGGTTTCTTTCTATGTAACGCAATAGTAAGTGCAAGTAATTTAAGCAATTATTCTTTAACTTCTTATACATAAAACCATACTAAGCAAAATATTATGTAAACAACATTTTCATTGAAATATGTCTGTTATTTTTACCTCTACCATTGCATGCGTTATATGAAATGAAGGGACAGATAAATAGTCACAGGGACTTATAAATTCTTCATATTGTTTCTGCCTCTAAGGTTTGATATCTTCATCATTCACAGGAACAGAGTTGTGATAATTTCATTCATAGTCAAAATCACAGTGTATAAACGAAATCACTACACAATATTCTACGTCTATTGAATTCATTGAATACAATTGTTTGAAGATTACAAGCATCTATTTCTTCCAGTCTCTGTACCTTTCTAAGTAGCCATTATATTTTAACTTGTACCATTCTGGAGAAAACCGGAAGCAAGTTCGTTTATACACTGTGGATATGCTTTTGTAAGTAGATTTAAATTTGCAGAAATAGACTGATTAAAACATTTAATTTTTGTTGCTAATATATCGCTTATTGTGTGTTTTTAATGGAGGTAAACTTAACACACAAAAAAAAACAAAAAAGAAACATAAAATTTTTGAAAACAAATTTCAGGTATCATTCAAAGGATTTGGAGGCACCTGGTTACATCACCGTGGACAAGGAAGGGGCTTTGTTTGTATGTGGTCGTGATTCCAAAAATATACACATGGTCAACTCTCACGGTCGCAAAATCAAAATATTCTCAGCAGACGATGAAATGGAAGGAAGCGCCATCTGTTATCGCGCGTCTGATGGTCTGTTTGTATTGTGTAGCCATAATTCGGATAGAATTCGGACTTATAAATTACTGTGAATTATAGTCTCTGACTTTTGTAAAGTTTGAATCAGAGCAAACGGATTTTTGGTATATTATGGACGAAAAACCAAAACAAAAATGATGTCCTTAAATGACTATAAAACTATTTCAAATATCGTGTGTTAAAAAATCAAAATATTGACCATAAATACGGTTTGGCTAGGTTTCATTTAAGTTTTAACAAAAAGATAAAATTTGGTTTCAAATTTGATACAAAAAATGGTTAACTGTTTTAAACAAAAATCCACCTGTCATCACACCCATCCCCCCCCCCCCCCAAAAAAAAAAAAATAAATAAAAATACAACAACAAAAACTTACCCGACGGAATATCCCAAAACGTTGTTTTTGATGTCGTTTTTGGCGGAGCTGATTGTACAAATGTTAAAGTAAAGAACACGGTGACCGCCAAAAAATACATTATCACAAGCGTTCATTCCAGTTGAAACACACGCACATGAAAAGAGAGTCACAATTAATTAAAGTTACGAAATAAAAACATATTTTATCCAAAAATTGTGCTCCATCTGATCTTACAACAAAAATAATGATAAATCCAAATTGCCTGTATTTACAATTGTATAACGAGCACCGGTGTACTCATTATATAGACATTAATTTGTGTGATGATTTATTGTTAATAACTTAACTAAAACCTTGACGATAGATTTTTTGTCTAGGATTAATCACCAAAGGAGAGTTTTATTATTATGTTGACATGTCATAATTTGCGGTTATAAAAAGAAAAAGAAAAGTGATGTGTTGATTATTAGTTTAGGGGTTTTAATTATTACTTTTTTCTTGTTTATTGTATAGTTTGATAATTTGTATAATAGTTTGATAATTTGTATAAGTATAATATATAAATGAAATAAACAACGAATTATATTAAACGTATAAACAAATAGTGTATTGTATGTATCAGATAAATGTATAGGGTTTTATTTTGTGTATAATTACGAATAAGTACCGTGTATTTGTCATTTAATGCACCGAGTGACATACCCTTTACATGATAGAGTATATTACTGACATGCGTAGGCGTGGCTAAACTCATTCGGCCACCTTATATGTCACACTTTAATTATGAACTATACTATATACATTGTATGTAAGTATGAGTGATAAACAGAACAGAACATATATGAGCCGCGTCATGACAAAACCAACATAGTGCGTTTGCGACCAGCATGGATCCAGACCAGCCTACGCATCCGCGCAGTCTGATCAGGATCCATGCTGTTCGCTTACAAACTCTATTACAAGTACAGAAACTGACAGCGAAAAGCATGGATCCTGATTAGACTGCGTGGATGCTCAGGCTGATCTGGATCCATCCTGGTCGCAAACGCACTATGTTGGTTTTGTCGTGACGCGGCTCATATTTTATTTTGAATTAAGCATATACACCTCATCTTCATTTACAACAAATATATACATGCATGAATTTGAAAAAATGGTAAACGCATATCAATAAATCTAGTGAAAGGGTAATACATCACATGTAATATATACAATCCTTATATAACTTTAAACAAGACAACAAGGTGGTCTTATATAGCATTATAAGACCTTCCTATTTTAAGTGAAGTCGGACCTTTAGCTCTGTGAATTTAAATCTCGAAACTGACCGTTAAGTTTTATATTGGCCCGTGATATGCTGTTAGAAAACAACAACAATGAATAATAATGAAAACAACAATAAGTTATAATGAAAATAACAACCCCCTCAAAATACGCACATAAAAGACTGAAAACTGGAATACTATGTTAGTTCGCTAACTGACGACAATAAATAAATAGAAAAATGAATGAACGAACGAACGACCAAACGAATGAATGAATAAATAAATAAATAAATAAATGAATGAACGAACAAACAAACAAATAAATAACTAAATAAGAATAAATAAATAAATAAATCTTTTTTTAAATGATGTTTTCCCTTGAATTTGGAATATAGAATATATCTCGCAACGGTAAAAGGGAAATATCCGCGCAAGCGCAACTCGCTCGTAAAATATTTCATCCTTCTCAGAACAACTTATAGCTCCGTATTCTGGTGAGACAAGCTAGTTCCCTATACAATCCACAGCTTAGGGAATCATTGTCATTTATTAAAGATTTCATAAATGTGCGTTCTAGGAAATAGTAAGAAAAGAAAGAATAAAAGAAAAAAAGAAAGAAAGAATCAACTGTTACAGCAAACAAAAATTGCCGTCACCGCTGGTAATTATATTGGCATTCAAATTTCGATACATTTATCAAAGCAGTAAGTTACAAGCTTTATGTGTATATGCTTGATTCGGAGGTGTCTCCTTGCACATGTTGTCGGTTTCTAAGTGTGACTTCATCTAGTTTATAACGGTATCTATTTAAAATCGAATGTAAAGACCACTTTCAACGTACATAAACCACGCCCGAGATCACGGTCTGGAAATAATCAGTACTGACATCATGAAGGGAACATTGTCGTAACTATATTAAGATTTGAACCTTAGATACTTTGGTTGAGAGACAGAGACTTTAACCTTAATATCTGGCGACCGCTTCCATTTGGTCAATACTTGGCTCGTTTATATCACCAGTACGGTAACTGGTCTGCATCTGTCGCCACTGTAAAACCGGATTAAGCCCTATGCATTTGTCGTATATCCGAAAAATTCTTGTACATAAATTACCAGGCCTGTAGTTGGTCGCTTAAATAACTTATTATTATATTGAGTTCATGACGGTGTGTATTTCTGACGATATTTCCACTTATTTGAGATAAATTCTAAATATAATATTCGTTTAACTTCATAAGTAAACCTAGAGGCTTACAAAATATAATTTCATTCAACTGATCCAATAAATTCATTCAATACACCCCCCTCTATTTGCTAAATATCAATAATGAAAAAAATTATTAGAATTATACCAAACATTAAATTAATCTAAATATCAAACTTACCGTCACTTTAATATACCCAACTTTTTCTATTTCAATCTATTATTAAATGAATATATGAATGTTTTTAGAAGCTATTGATATTATTTCATCTCATACATATGTGATATCTTTAGTTATATCCTTGATAGTGGTCATTTTCTGAAGGTGTAATTTGGTCTTACATACTTTTGTTAAGTCGCTTGTAAAAAAAAAAACAAAAACAAAAACAAACAAAAAAACAAACCCATACATTTTGAATAAAAAGATTATGACTTATTGTAATAAAAGTAATATCATATCTGACTTAGAAAAGGACAATCGACAGTTGATACGTTGTTTATTATGTTAACAATAGAAAATTAGGCAAGGGGAGGTAACTTCGCCCATATCATTTTCCTTGTTCGTAGAACCTAGAGTTATATCTACAACAGAATACAGACTCTGTCTTACTATTGACAATATTATACTTATTTTGTTTTTGTTTGCTGATGATATGATTATTTTGGGTGTAGCCCCCTGATTAGTTAAATCAATCTGTAAATCTTTTATTTACTTATTGTAAAACATGGAGTATATAAGTAAATATATACCGATAAAACCAAAGTAGTTATATTTTGCAGGAAGTGTTTTAATACGTTACGAAGATTGGTTTTACAATGTATAAGACTTGAAATTTTGTATAATTTTATTTATGTGGGTACAGTTTTTTTATTATGCAGGTAGTTTTGTTTCTAAATCAGGAGCATTTAGTTGGTAAAGCATTAAAAGCCTTAAATTTGATACTTATCAATTGTCGCAAAATATAGAAAAAAAAAAACTAAAAAAAATTTGTCAATTAATTGATTATTATTATTATAATTATTATTATTATTATTATTATTATTATTATTATTATTATTATTATTGGTTTTATTCTAAAACATCAGAGATAAGGGGATTCATTAAATCTAAGGAAATTGAAATAATATATCTCAAATTTTGTATCACGGGGGAGGAAGTGTTACACGAAGGATGGAGTTCTTATGATAACTTGTTTGGAGTTCTTATGATAACTGTCACGGAGTTCCTGGAAAACGTTACGAATTTCTGTGGAAAACTTTTCTATATACTTAGAGAACTCGCGTAAAAAATGGTTATTTTTAACTTTAAATGGGGAGTTTGAGGTGCTAAATTAAACTTTGATAATTAAGCTTGCCCTACATATTGTATTATGTTTCCGAAAAAAATATTTTAGTCCATATTTCGTCGCCGTTTAAAAAAATCTGGTAGTTTTGAGAAAAATTTCCAAATTACTTGCTAATTCGTACATATTGACTTTTTCATTTGTGATCTTCGTTGCTATACATAATCACCTAATTATAGTAGAGAGTTGCAAACATAAAGCCCGGGCTAATAAATGTATACCCGATTTTTCAAATGTTACGGAGTTCTTGTGATAACTCAAAATATGTCCTGGAGTTCTTATGATAACTTTTGCTACTGCCAGTGTGTTTCTTGTGCTTAATTACGGCACGTTTAAGCGTATTTTATTAGTCAATAAGTGTGTAAATCATTATGAAGCATAGTACGCTTATCATTTGCACAAAAATTTGGTTATATAACGTTGGATTTGATCGTGTTTTAGCTCCTAATTAAATTTGTGCGAAATCATATTGACATTATAAAACCCAACGAATGCACTAAATGTTTCTGTGTATACTGTTCGTCAACAAAAATTTTATGTCATAAGTTTCCGCAAATGCAACATTGAGGCCATGTGGCAAAATTAAAACACGATCAATGAATATATCTGGAGAAGACATGAAACTGCTTTGGTGTACAGTCTACATAGGATAAACAGGTGCTAAGTTATATCTTCAGGAACGACCGCCTCCGTGGTCGAGGGGTTTGAATCGATGACTTCTAATCCAGTTACCTCTCTGGCGTGGGTTCGATCCCCGGGAGATGCTTTGGTAGTTTAGCACGGAGGAAGGTAGTCTAGTACTGGTGTAACTCTCCAGGAACGATGGAAACTACCCGCCCATATGACTGAAATACTGTTGGGAAAAGGCGTAAAATGAAACAAACAAACAAACAAAATTCTTCAGGAAAACCTGAATCAGCGGTCACCTGTATTCAGCAGTAACATGGCTTAAACCGCCAAGGAAAAAAATATTTAAAACTTACACTTTTTTTCTCAGATAACTTGTTTTAAACAACCGCCTTTCTAAAGCAGACAATAAGTAGTTGGGCTTCCCTCAAGAAGCGGCTAAGTAAATTGTATCATTATATACCATGTAACGTATATAATCGGGATATCCTTCACACCCATGCACCCGAAATGTATGATCTTTTTATGAATAAAAAATCAACCGATTACTACCGATCTCTTCGACAGATTTGCACGTGCCCTACGTGTTCGAGCGAAAGAAGTTCGACAATATATTTTTGTAATCAATTACAGCAAAAGTTGTTGCAAAATTTCCACTAGGACTCCAACTTTGATAAGAAAAATGTATGCAGTAATTTTCCGAAATATGGAAATTGCTATACGTCACGTGATGCTACATTGGATTTAATAGAGAAAGGAACAAGGTCGATAAACGGCATGAACCTTACGGTGACTCACGTATCTTATTAAAGACTTACTTTCTATCGTCATATCATTGTCATAGAACTTTATACGTTTCTAAAACAAAAACTGATACCTTTTAGAAATTGAAATACCCGTTGAATACATAAAGACGACACCCACCTCATTAAATTCAGATAAGGGTAGTGCATACTACCTACTATTTTGCTGATAATCATTTACATGCATACCGATAGCATAGTTACTTAATTAATGTTCTCTAAAACTGCCAGG